GTAGATACAGATGTGAATCTTCCGTCAAATTATGTCACACCGATTAAATAAACTTTAAAATTGTATTAATTCACTATTTTATTAAATTTTGATAAAGCAGAGAAATAAAACTATACATATTATAGAAGTATTCATGTTTTTTTATGCGAGAGTCATGTTTTGAGGAATTTATATCATTCGCTGTTTTGTTATTATACATGAGCATCTGAAATTCCCAGCAAGTGTATTTCACGATTTTAATAAGAAGTAGATAGGGAAAAAACAAACTTTTGCTAAATAAAATGTTATATTAACACTTTTAATAAAAAGAAATCAATAAAAGTGATCGCTTACCGTTACTCTTGAAGAAGTAATTCCAAAAATAGCCGTCGGTAGCGTAGACTTTTTAAAAAAACAATTTTTCGTCTTTCGAACGGCGTTTTCCTATCTCTTTCCTTATTAAATTTCAGAACGACACTTGCCAGCGCTCGCCGGAAGTGAGAATTCCGTGTGACACAAAACAATCAGCAATTTGACGGAAGATTCACATCTGTATCTACCTCATCTGTGGTTTCAGGGGGGGTTGAACTACAACAGGAAGACTGCTAAAATACAAGATCGATTTTTTTTCGAAGATGAAATGGTGGATTTTAAAAACTTTTTACATCCATCCATAACTTTTATCTACAGCAAAACAACCAGATAACTTTTGGCTACATGTACACGAAATGTCATGAAATTCTGAGCAATAATGGCGAAGAAAATGTGCTATAAAAAAGACGGCGATATGTAATGCGAGCACGCTTCGTTGTGAAGCTCAGAAAAGTTATAGGTATGAACTTATTTTATAGCGTTTTTAATACTGTAACTCGGAACAATAGGTTGGATCATTTATTTTTCCTAGTAATCAAGTGTTCAGTATTAAATACTGGATCTCTACAGTAGTTATAATTTTAAATAGCTATATAGCAAGAATATTTCGAAGTGAATTCTGTAAAACTGTCTGTTTTTACATCACTATAAAACTGTTTTTATATGAAAACAAATTTGCATTTTGGCCTGTTTTATTTATCATCAGTGTAAAGACAGTACGTATTCACAGTAATAGATACAGTCACTAGTTTTTAGTGTGAAGTTTCTTCGAAACTTCACAGTATTGTGATGACTGGGGGGAAATTCAAACGAAACAGTCAGTCATTCAGTCAGTCATTCATTCATTCAGTCAGTCATACAGTAAACTTTCCGGGGGGTGTATACGGTATGTGTTCGTAGTGATTTATCGTACTTAGTCTGTGCTTTGAAGGTTATTTAGGCAATTTTAGTTGTCTTATTTAAATATTCTTTAGGTCTTTTGCCAAGTTTTGCCAAGTTTACAAGAAATTCGAGGAATTGTTGTCGTTATTGTAAATTTTATAACATGCGCTTCTCATGTTGTGTAAAGGATTTTTCCCCCGGAACACCCGATTTTTTCTTTAGCAGCGCAAATGCGCATGCGCTATCAAGCCGTAGATCACGATGGCGTGACGATGCTAGGAAGGAGCGAGACAGTGTTGTTTTGAAATGTATAAGCATTTCAGACGTGAATATTGAGTAAATCTTCGACAATCTACGCAATGTATAAATTGATGTTATACATTCAATTAAGTGCCGATATTATTTAGACCGGTATATTCATTTTACAGAGCTAGCAAGGAGCTTTTTGCTTTTTTCAAGTGTAGGCTATATATTAAACATTTCAGACGTAAATATTGAGTCGAAAATCTTTGAGATTCTAGGCATTCAATTGAGTGCCGATATTATTTTCACGGTATACCCATTATACAGAGGTAGGAAAGTGCGAGAGAGTGTTGTTTTCAAATATATAAACATTTCAGACATGAATATTGAGAAAATCTTTCAGATTCTACGCAATATATAAATTGATGACGTTATGCATTACCGGCGCCCAATTAAGTGCCAGAAGATATATTGTTTAGGCCGTGTATTCATTATACATTGGCCACATTGGCTGTATAAGGTGCTACACCACAGAATAGATGGCTACACTTAGTACAAAGAGCGAAATTTGCATCAGACAAAGCGTAAACAACTATTAAACAGAAGCGGATGTTTGTACGGCGTTTACGACGAAAATAACTTGTGAGTTGTGATCGAGACAAAAAAAATCAGTTGAGTCTGCAGAGCTCTTTATTTAAACAAGAAAGACGAGGAGTTATAGCCAACGTGTTATCGCCAATCGCTTGGCTTGCCAACAAGCTTTATGCAATAGAAGAAAAAAGCAAGGAGGTAGCCAACGTGTACCGTCAAGGACTTACTTTGTTTACTGTCTAGCACAACGTCAACAGTGCAAACTCGTGTTCAGTGCAACGATGACTCTACCAGATCTTACGAGAATCAATCTGTACACAGAGCCGTATCAAAGCTTGTTAAAACTGCTATAAACACTGCTATAACTGTGAAACTATTGAAATCTAAAGTGACATTACTGAATACACGCGAAAAGCTGAAAATGACTCATGAAACGCAATGTGACATTGCCATTGCGAATATAAAGTCAAAGGTCAATCAGACTTGTTATTGTGAAACATGTCACAATTAGGTTAAAATGCGGAAGCGGATGGAGCGGATCCACGGAACGGATATGGGGATAAAATATAGAACGGATGGGGATAAAATGCGTTCTTTTAATGATACAACGTCGTAGTGCTTATTATTCATAACATATCTTATACATAATCATATTAAATAAGTCCAGCGTATCAGTACCCTCGTTAGGATGCTTTTAGCGACAGCTGCAAATACAAATGAAGTTTTAGAATATGCAAAATTTGGGTGTTGGTGAAACAATTTAAATTTCGAGTTGTCGCGTGTAGCATCACAATAAATAAATAAATTGTATCAGTTCCACGAGGCACGTTTCTGATCTGTTAGGCTTGTTTCAAACGTGGCGCTACTCATGTGCCGAACGCATTATAAAGTAGATAATGAGATGAAATGCCTTTGGTAACTGTTTATTTCGTAGTGTAAGCCATCAGCCTTTCTAGGTTGTCGGCAACCCTATATAATTGTTGCAGTGTCTTTTTCAATTCGAAACTTCACACTATCCTTGGATCCCTAGTTGTTAACTAATGTGTACTTTAAAGTTTAAACTAGGGAGATGTTTAGGCATTTATTATAGAATACATATTAAACTTTCAGAACTTTGATACAAGATTGTTTATATATAAATGCAAAATTCCATGCTGGGATATAAAATAATGCTAGCACTCTTACAAATTGCAGCCTATTTTGTGAACACATTCACTCAGTATTAAACGGAAAAATTTATCCAACTTATTGAACCAAGTTAAATTAAAACGCTATAACTAAATTCACTGCCTATATACACTTTGTCGAGCAAGGTTCACAACTCACAACGAAGCGTGCTCGCATTACATATCGCCGTCTTTTTTATAGCACATTTTCTCAGCCATTATTGCTCAGAATTTCATGACATTTCGTGTACATGTAGCCAAAAGTTACCTGGTTGTTTTTCTGTAGATAAAAGTTATGGATGGATGTAAAAAGTTTTTAAAATCCACCATTTCATCTTCGAAAAAAAATCGCTCTTGTATTTTAGCAGTCTTCCTGTTGTAGTTCAACCCCTCCTGAAACCAAATTTTTACTATAAATACGTCACAAACTGTTTATTTTTTCAACCAATTGAATCACATAATTTTTTAAAAAATATGACGAATGAAATAACCTCTGGCATCCCGCATAGTCACATCAAAATTTTCATCAGACCATGAAACGTTTGTACAAATTTTTCATCTTTCTTGCAGTCTTGAAAACAAAATTTATATGCGGGTATGTAGAAAAAATATCAGAGTTCAATGTGGTATAATTTTTTATCATGTTTTATTTACGTATACGAAGTATTTTGCGTTTTGCCGAAGTGGTATATTCGTCAGTTGAGATATAGTTGCCAACCTTAGGTATAATCTATATACATCAACCATAGGCTGCCCAAAAGTGCGTGTTGTAATTTTTACCCTCGCGCGTGGCGCTCGGGCATGCATCGAGTCTACTCAGTTCATAGGCAGCCCAGCAAAATGTGTAAAAATGCATTAAACGCTTAAAAATGCGTATAAAGTTCGTCACAATTTGCTATCAAGCGATTTATTTGTGTAGCTCATTATACATGCAGATTCCGATGTTTACGTCATTGTATTTTCATATGGTATATTATCCTAAGGCGGGCAACTCTTTTACAAAAACATTTACACACACTAATACGCTCGCTTCAAACAACAACAAAAACCGCTACTTTCTGAAAACAAACTACATACAAAACACCTTGGATATTTTTTCTAACTTTATTCAAACTTTTTAGAGTTGAAAAAAGTTTAGAAGTATTTAAATTTCATGGATAAAAAGTGGGTGTTTATCGAAATTATTTTGTCGATAGGCGGGATGCAAAATGCACGACAAACGTCATCATCGGAAAAATCATCGGCTTGTTGCTTATTGGCTGTTGAAAAATCGGCAAATTCCGAATATAATATACTTCAGTCAATGAACTTTCTTCGGAATTTGCCGATTTTTCAACAGCCAATAAGCAACAAGCCGATGATTTTTCCGATGATGACGTTTGTCGTGCATTTTGCATCCCGCCTATCGACAAAATAATTTCGATAAAAACCCACTTTTTATCCATGAAATTTAAATACTTCTAAACTTTTTTCAACTCTAAAAAGTTTGAATAAAGTTAGAAAAAATATCCAAGGTGTTTTGTATGTAGTTTGTTTTCAGAAAGTAGCGGTTTTTGTTGTTGTTTGAAGCGAGCGTATTAGTGTGTGTAAATGTATTTTGTAAAAGAGTTGCCCGCCTTAGGATAATATACTATATGAAAATACAATGACGTAAACATCGGAATCTGCATGTATAATGAGCTACACAAATAAATCGCTTGATAGCAAATTGTGACGAACTTTATACGTATTTTTAAGCGTTTAATGCATTTTTACACATTTTGCTGGGCTGCCTATGGTAGAAGCATGAAAATATAAATAGTTGTCGAATAAAGTTCAATATTTTGAATGCCGAAATGTAAACAAAGGCTTTGTTTACATACGGACTGTATCCTACATTTTTATTGTAAAAATGTTCAATAGTTTTTAGATGAATAGTTTTTGCATGTTTTAGTTTATGCGTGCAGGGGATGATGGGAAGTAAGGATCATGTATGATATTGCTGATTATGCCAGTGCTTCCATTTTCAAGGAAATTTCCTTTTCTAAGGAAATTCTAGTGTCGAAAAGGAAAATCTAAGGAAGTGAAAAAATCTAAGGAAATCTAAGGATTTTTTCCGAACAACTTAAATATTTATCCAATGGCATTAGTGCAGAAGAAAGTTTCACTATTTCTTGAATTTTTTAGTGAATTATCAATTATGTTTAATCAAAAATCTGTTTTTAACTTTCCCCTCGTGTTTCCGAAAACTTCCAAAAGTTTTTGAGCGATGGGATTTAGTAACTTTTGGCGCCAAACGCTGTGAATAATTAATTTTTTATATCGATGGAAAGGTGTATGTTGTAAACTCATGACAAATATTTAATTTTAAACAGTATAATAGCCTGTGGTTTTTTAGCTAGCAACCATCTTTGTTAGTTGTGCTATTTTGTGCCTTTAAAATTGATTAAATCCTTTGTATTGCTACAAAAGCACTGCAAACCGCCTAATGAAATTTCAAGGAATTTTCAAGGAAATAACGTATACAATCTAAGGAATTTAGAGAAATTTTGATGACAACAATGAGAAATTTTGATTTTGAAAATGGAAGCACTGGACAGTGCTTCCATTTTCAAGGAAATTTCCTTTTCTAAGGAAATTCTATGGTCCAAAAGGAAAATCTAAGGAAGAGAAAAAATCTAAGGAAATCTAAGGATTTTTTCCGAAAAACTTAAATATTCATCCCAGTGCATTGGTGCAGAAGAAGGTTTCACTATTTTTTTACATTTTTGAGTGAATTATCATTATTTACTCTGCATTATTTATCAATTAGGCCATATAAAAAAAACTAGTTGGTTAGCGTCCTTAGCTTTTGCCAAAAAGTGGGCGGGCGGGCGCTTTTTTTTTAATTTTTACTAATTTTTAACGCCTTGGTTTTACTCACTGTTAGGTCCGAAGCTGGATTTTCTTGCGCAGTACAGATATTTTTTTATATATTTCAAAATATAATTCATACCGTCATTTTCGGACGCAATTTCGCAAATTATTAACACAATTGACTACAGTCAACAGAAATACTACATATATTAGAGCCCGTTGATCAATAAAAATCGGGGTATTTTAAAATAAAAAATAAAAAAAAATCCTGAGCGGGGCCTTTTTTGTGGGCGGGCGGGGACGCTAACCAACTAATTTTTTTTTATGT